CCGAGCCATTCCTTTAACAACTTGTGTGCGCTCTCCACTTTACAAGTAGTGGTGTTGCCAAGATGCAAATAAGTGTTGGTCCATGCATGCACAAACTTGTCCGCCACCACTAACCATGTCTTCCTAACAAATTCTAGAACGGACTGAAATTGGGACCAATTATGCTCCAGAAACTGTACTTTTTCTTCGTATTCTTCCCAATTTGCAGCTTCGATCACTGTTTTAAAGGCCTTGTATGCGAAACTTTTTCCGTTCAAAATTCTTTTCACATTTTTTTCAACATTCTTGTAAACGTGCCACGTACACAACAAGTGATGTGACGATGGAAATACATCATCAAGAGGCCTCATCAGTCCAGGCTCCCGATCAGTCACGATGCACTCGAATGCAGATCATCGCCATACAAGTTACGGAGCTGCCACAGCGCCCAATGGTAGCCGTCCCCCGTCTCATCACTCAGAAGAGGATATGCTATAAGGAAGGTCTGATTGCAAGGGGTCATTCCAACAAACTCCACAAGAGGCATTTTATATTTGTTTGTGTTGTATGTGGAATCTACACAAACAACACAAGGATACGCCCGCAACAGCAACAAAGAATCCGGATGTGCGAAAAACACGTGGGATAACCTCTGTGTCTCTTCATCGCACTCCGTGAAGATGATGTATTTGTGTTGTTCTGTGACTTCTAACACCTTTCCCACGACGTCCATGGCAGCCAGGTCATCTAGAATTGGAAACCCCTCCTTACGCAATTGATTTCTATAGTTGTAGACTTGTTTGGAGGTAACCTTTTCATCAGGAAATTGTGTCCATATCGCCCATAAAATGTGGACTGCCTTAGTCCCAGCTTTAAAGTACTCCTTAATAAGCTCTTTCACTTCTGCACTCAATAGCCTCCTGACTCGAGGTGGATCTTTCAATGAATAGTTGTACATTCTCCACGGACCTGGATATACACGAATCGCCCACCTATCATATATATTGTAAATAGTAACGCGAAACAGGCGTCCGGTCATCTGTGTCTTTGTATTGACTTTGGCGCGCACATTTTCATCCACCTGTTGACCTTGGTACCGCCCTCCTTTATAACAAAGGAGTATAGTACTATTATCCTTGTGCGATGATACACTTAGCTCCATGTTGTAAATATTCGCAATACCCTTCGCATATGCAACAACTTCCTTCTTCGTGGCAAAAGTCTCGTCTGTAGCAAAAGCCGGACTATAATCAACTCCATCTCCCTGATCAAACCTATCATGCACACATTAAAAATGAATTATATCATAACTTAAATTAACTCTAATAGTATTAAACCACAAATAATTTGCTATGAGCAAAAAACAAAATATATAATCTGATATAATGATCTTATACTTTAAAGATAATTAATATATACTAATAACAAATTAAATACATTATTAACAAAAACTCATTATTTTAACAAAAACCTAAACCCTATACCCATTAACATACTACCTAAACACCCATTTAACAAGAAACAAACTATTTCATACGAACATACTACGTAATTAACATAATTAAAACATATAACAATCTAAATACATTATTAACAAGAAATTAACTCATTTAATATAACAACTACAACCTATGAGCAATATACGTAACTAAAAACATTCTCTAAATATCATAAACCCTAATTAACATAAACCCTAATTTTCTAACCAAATATTAAACTACCAAACAAATATTCAAATAAAATAAACACATGAATTAAATAAATTTATTAAACTAATAATAATATTTATTAAACTAATAAATATTAAATATATTAAAAGATTATAAAAAAATTATTAAATTAAAAAAAATGGGTGGGCGCCACCCATCGGGTGGTTGGCAAGCATACCCGGACAAAGGTGGCGCCAGATTTGGCGCCACCACCTTCGGCTAAGGCGAAGGCCGTGTCGCCTCCCTGTAAAGGGAGGCGAGTTTATTGCACGCCACTCCCATGTTTCTCCTACGCCAGACGTTAACGGCTGGAGCGTTTCTCCCTCGCCCCCCCCCCCTTTTTTCGAAAAAAAACTTAGCTCTATTTGCAGGGGTGTGTCCATCTTTCGGGGGCGCTCAAATGAAACAATAAGGGCGCTCAACAGTTCGACCCAATTTTTATACACACCAGAACGACAATACTTCCTCCGTCGCGAAATATAATCCAATTTAAATTTTCATTTTTAGTGCACAAAATGAGTATTATTAAGAGGATTACACATAACATCGTGTACATACAACGATAGGTCTAATATGAGATCTAAACAATGCAAGGCTTGCTATATACCTATAACTAGGTGTTAGACCAGTCCGATGGACGGGGAGCACATATACATAGACATTACTACACAAGCAAATCAAAAAAATATTATGTATAAATTTTTGTATTTTTATAAAATATATAATGAATTCATTGAAAAATATAAAACACAAACATCGGCAACACTTTACCAAACGAATACACTGGTAATTTATTTAACGCAAAAAAGATTGTTAAGAAATTAAAAAAAAAAGAACTTTGAATTAAATAATTATATATCTTGCAATATTTCTTGGTAGACTACATTGGTAGTCGGAGGTGGAAAGGTTGGCTAGGGTGGTTAAGAGATAATGATAAGGATTTTTTTTTTTTTGAAAAGGTTTATGATAAGGAATGGTTACTAAAAAACAACAACCCTAACCTGTTGTAGAGGCCATCTAATTTTTTAATAAGAAAAATAAAAATAAAAAATAAAAAGAGTTGGATATCAAGACCTTTATTCCTTGTCTCGGAGTGACTTTTGTTTTCAGTGTTTTTATTTTATTATTTTCTTTTTTAAATATGATGCATTCTCACTTTCCTTCATTTCTTATTTTTAGCCTCATTTGTTCGTTTGATTTAGTTATTTCTCATTACCTATCTAATAATTTATCTTTAATTAACTTACCCATTGTTAGAAATATTTTATTTAAAATATGAGGGTGGGACTATCTTTTTACCCTTAAAGAATATCATTTACCTATTTCTTTCTTCACTAATATCTTTCTAGACACTTTCACAAATGTCAAATCCATCCTGCTCATTTTTTTTTGAATTAAAACTAGATTTTTTAAGAAAACAATTTTAAAATTTGGTTCAAAAAATCATAAATTTGCCACATAAGATTTAGTCATATGTGGCATGATACAATACCTTAGATTTTCTTTCTCTGGAGTTTGCTTTACTATAATATATATAGACTTTTTTTTAGGAAAAAAAGGAACAAAAAATTAAGAGCCCAATATTTAGCCGCATAGACCCCTTAATATTTGTTGAAAACACGAAATATTTAGCAATCACACAGGATTAGACAAATAAATTTATCTTATTAAAAAGTACAAATGTTTTTTTAGGAAACATAAACTGGAATAAAAAAATTAAGTAGATAACCAATTCAACAGTCACTGTACTATTGTTGGAATGTAGTGTGCATCAAAAATCCAAGCAAATTTTCAATGGAATGATGAGTACAACCTGAACTTGAAATTTATTACCATGATTAGCTAAACAGAGGTGATAATCAAACTATTCTAGATTTCAAAACAAATAGCACCGTTAGAATCATGATTTCATCAGCATTCAAGAAGAACCATTTCGTCAGATTCAAAGCCGTTTCTGCATGACAAAACAAACAACTTCTCAGCTATTTTGCTTTCTATCCATCTTTAGACCATTTTTGTGAGATCCCGAGTGTTGAGAACTCCTTACTTAGCGAGTAGTAGTTGATTCATGTATAAATTCGTATATTTATTTCTAATGTATGTACATTTTGCCATTTAGGTTCAAGAAAGATAAACTAAAAATTTGGATTTCAAAACGCTAAAACCAAAAAGAAAGAATAGCCATAATTGAAGCCTTTTAATATTTTTTTTCTTTATCAGAGCCATTCTTAGCCCCGCTACATCAACCCATCACCATAGTATTTTAACTCAATTCCATATTTGAAGCCAAATTATAGAAGTTTAGGTTGGCCTAACTTCTTTAATTATTTTAATAAATTATTAATATAAAATTCTTTTTCAGTTGCGTTTTTTTTATAGGAGGAAAAGATTTATCCATCGGATTTGCAGGGATTTGGTCGAATCAATATATGATTTGGATTTTTTCAGTTGCGTTTTTTTTTTTTTTTTTTAGTTTTTATTGTTTTGTTTTGTGCATTTTTATTATTTGTCAGAGCCATTCTTAGCCCCGCTACATCAACCCATCACCATAGTATTTTAACTCAATTCCACATTTGAAGCTAAATTATAAAAGTTTCAGGTTGGCCTAACTTCTTTAATTATTTTAATAAATTATTAATATAAAATTCTTTTTCAGTTGCGTTTTTTGTTTTAGGAGGAAGAGATCCATCCATTGAATTTGCAGGAATTTGGTCGAATCAATATATGATTTGAATTTTTTCAGTTGTGTTTTTTTGTGGTTTTTATTGTTTTGTTTTGTGCATTTTTATAACTAGAAAATTAAGAAAATACCACATAGGATAAAATCTTATGTGGTACGTGCTCCTTGACTTTAGATTCCTCTCTTTGGTTTTTGCCTTAATATAGTATATATAGGTTTGGGAAAATCTTGTATATTCGTAAAAAAAAATAAAATAAAATTCCTACATAATACAGTAAATTCGTAAATCACGCAAGGAGAAGATCTTAAAAGTTAAAAAGGCCAAAAAAAGAAAAGAAAAGTGGACACGTGTAAATCACAACCATCATTCATATGCTACTGGCGGCCGGCCTTTTCCCTGCAATTTATATACAGTAGTACATATATTTTTAACTGTTCTGAACTTGTTTGCTGACGCCAGATCGACAAATGCCCACCCGTGAGGTGGCGCGTTTCCTCCAATCCTCTAGTCCAATTGTACTCCTTCAGGTCCTCCTCCCATACATATAGCAGCAAATGCAGTTTCATCATTATCACTTACAGACTCTTTTTAAGACAAATTGCGGTCGTTTAAAATTAGACGTAATCCGGTTATGGCGTCAATTTTAACGGCGGATGAGCTGATGTCGTTTCGAATTCTGCAAGATAATGCCGCGCCACATCCATCGTCGTCGTCTCCTTCTGCCGACCCCACCGACGCCGTGATCTTTGTCGGAATCAGTTTGGTTTTGGGCATTGCCTCCCGCCACCTTCTCAGGGGAACCAGAGTTCCCTACACCGTTGCTTTGCTGGTTCTCGGAATTGGCCTTGGATCATTAGGTTTCTTTTTGTTCTTTTTTCCCCCATTTATTTCGTTATTTTTTTTGTTCATTAGTTGCTATTGTGATTTTACCTGTGATATGTGATGCTCTGGAGTGCAGAATATGGAACCAAGCATCGGTTGGGAAGGATTGGAGATGGCATTCGTATTTGTAAGTTCCCTCTCAATTTATCCGATAGCGGACTTGTTCCTTGAGTTTTTCTTTTTTTTGCCTTTTTCATTTGCTAACTGTTGATAATTGTTACTTTGTAGGGGCATCTATTGATCCTGACCTTCTCTTGGCTGTGTTCCTTCCTGCACTTCTGTTTGAGAGTTCTTTCGCTATGGAAGTACACCAGATAAAGGTTTCTTTACAACTTCTATTCCCTACAGATTGTATATGTTTAGTTATCTTAAATTAAGGAAAGTCTTTTCAATGGGATATGGCATCAGTTATTGAAACTTCAGAAACAGTTATTTCCTACTCCTATTTACAGCCTTTCTTTCATCTTAGCTGGGATTCTTGGAATATGATTTTGTTTCCTTTTGGACTGAGAAACAATGCTACATCCATGGTTTGAACAAAATTGGATCCAGTTTCCCTTTAATTCACCCAGCATAAGGTTATGCGTCATCCGCAATTTGTAGCGCCCTAGTGGAGAGTTCACTTAATAGTAGCTATTTGTTTGTGTTTTAAGTTTGTCTGAAGTTGACTACTGCAGTGAGCATTTAGATCTTTGTGTTTCTGGGCATAATCTTAGTTTTTAGTGTTTTTTTTCCCTTTCTCGATAGTTCTATCTGAGATCTCCATTCTGCCACTCTTTGGTTTCTTAGTAACACTGGTACCTTTTTGTATTGTAGAGGTGTATGATGCAGATGTTTCTTCTTGCTGGTCCTGGCGTGCTCATATCAACCTTTTTTCTGGGATCTGCCATTAAGGTTTGCTGAATTTTCCTTTACCTTTTGTAACTGTTTTACTCATTAACATTTAATAGTAACATACTGTAGCTTATTTTTCCATATGATTGGAGCTGGAAAACATCATTATTGCTTGGGGGCCTTCTTAGTGCCACCGATCCTGTCGCAGTTGTAGCCCTCCTGAAGGAGCTTGGCGCAAGCAAAAAATTGAGCACCATTATTGAGGGAGAATCTTTGATGAATGATGGGTATTGCAACCTCCCTGTCATTATTATTTTTGTTAGACATTACGGACAAAAGTGTCTGCAATAACTTGTCAGATGTTTACTTTGAAAAGAGTGGTAACCAGAACTTTTTAAGGACATCCGGTTTATTAAATTCAGTTACAGTGAGACTGATTTTTCTTTTTTCATATTTATTTGTTATTACTCTTTTCATGCTTTGTTTATTTGTTTTCCTTCTATGCTGGAACTCTGATTACAGGACAGCAATCGTGGTTTATCAACTCTTTTACCGCATGGTTCTTGGATGGACCTTTGATTGGGGGTCAATAATCAAGTTCTTAGCACAAGTTTCTCTCGGCGCGTACGTCCTTTGGAACTTATGATTAGGGTATTGAGAAACATTATTGGTCTCACTAACTTCCCTGCATGGTACAGTGTGGGGACTGGTCTCGCTTTTGGAATTGCTTCTGTTCTCTGGCTAGGATTTATCTTCAATGACACTGTAATTGAAATTACTCTCACACTTGCTGTGAGCTATGTGGCTTACTTCACGGTATGCACTTAATGAAACCTTGGTACCTATTTGTTTTGGGTTACTACCAAAGCAAGTGAAATTCTTAGCTTTCATTGAAAACCCTTGAGAAGGTCCATATATTCGGCATAACGCAAAAGGCAACAACATAAAAAAGTACAAAATTGGAAACAATAAAAGAGCTTTCTAACGGCTGCCATGCGTAGTAATTCGGGGCAGCTTTTTTCTTGGATTTCTAAGCTTCTAATAATTGATTTTGGGCTACATGAGAAGTCTAAATAAGTTACTCATAGTCGTAATTTTTTCTGCGCTTGATCTCTGAATAGTGTGACTTGAACAATAATATAATTGGGATTCAAGACCTTGCACTCCTTTATAATTCACTACTCCATGCCTTCTTTGCTTACACACCTTTATTTATGTATTGGTTGATTAAATTAGCTAAATGTGGTTATCAATGTGACAGGCACAAATAGGGGCTGATATTTCTGGTGTTTTGACTGTGATGACTCTTGGGATGTAAGTCGCGGTTTTATGTAAAATCTGCCACTTTTTCTTTCTTTAATAGAGTATCTGCCACTTTTGGGTTTTGATTCTAAATGCATGAGCAGGTTCTACTCTGCCTTCGCTAGGACTGCCTTTAAGGGTGAAAGTCAAGAAAGCTTGCACAATTTCTGGTAATTTTTTATGCGTTGCTTTTCTGTAGTTACTTTTGTCTTACTTTTTAGGGTATCCTTTACTGTACCTTCTAAATTGTAGCACACCTGGTTTGCAGCATAAGAGAAGGGTGAATTAGATTCCAAAATTATGCTCTTTGAAACTAATTTAGAAATGTTGCTTTTTATAAATTTCACTTCAAATTTTTGTTTCTGAAACAATGACTTTTTAGCAAAAAGGAAGGAAAATCCATGGACCGACCCCATCATCTCCACCCCGTAAGAATTACGAGATCACCCCAAGGACGCCTTTTTACAACAATGTATCATAAACCTTTTTATAACTCTGAGATTTCCATTGAATTTTATTACTAAGCTTAAGGAGCTTGTGCTGGTTTGCTCACAGCAGCATAGGCAGTAAGCTCTATGTAGACAATGCTGTTACCGTTGGTCATTCAGTCTTTTATTACTGCTTTGTTTGCCTAATTACAGAAAGTAAAGTCCATTTGAGAAGTGCATCCAAACTGGTGGCCGCTTTGCTATTTTGTTGGTTGAAATCCATTATCCCTTCCATGTCCTCTTATCATAGTCTGTAATTTTGATTTTTTCGAAAAAGATTATTTTATACTTTCGACGTGGATTTAGGGATCAAGAATCAAGCCTAACGTCTTTTTAAATCTGTTGTCATTGTCTCAGGGAGATGGTTGCTTATATTGCCAACACACTTATTTTTATTTTGAGGTGAGGTGTAGATTAAGATTTATATTGGCGCCAATTGTCATTGTTGGGTTACCCATCCTAGAATGTATGATCTAATGTGTTCTGCTAGGTGAGATTATTAATGTGCATTGAATGCCTCTTCCAGAAATATTATTATGCAGCTAAAGTTGCAGGAAAAGAGCTAGACTTCTGTTAAAGGCACCCTGAAATTTCTCTAGGATTTTAGTCGATTTACATTGTGAATTTCCTAGCAAATCATCAGCATTGAATTATAGTACAACCGTATGTTGCATTATTACTTGGACTCTTCATTTTTTTCTGTTTTCGTTCTTTTGGGGGCAAGGGACAAAGTGCATATATTTTTATTAATAGATACTATGGGTAGGTGATGCATGCATGTATTTGTTCTGTTCAGGAAATCATATTATAGGTATCTAGGTTGCCAAGAAAATCTACAGATAATTTATGGTATTACTAAATGCCAGGACTTTTTTTTTTTCTTTTTTTTTGACATCTGATGGAAACTGACAAGTCTCTGATGTATGGCATTACTAGTAGCAATCAACTACACCCTATCTCCAAAAAATGATTGTCCAGTTTGGGTTTTTATTTTTAGTACAATTTGAACTATTTTTAGTACAATTTGAACTAAAAATGAAAATCCAAGCTGGACAATCATTTAAGGGAGGAGGATACTACAAGAAGCCTTTATCCGGCTATGCGGGGTTCGCTATATAGCAATCGTTTTAAAAATAATCTGTTAATAAGACCATTCATGTGATTAGCTATTTTTTCCCCTTCTTTTTATATATTTTTATTGTCTTTGCAGTGGAGTTGTAATTGCTGAAAGCGTTCTCGGGAATGACAGCCTATTCAAAACCCATGGTACACTAATTTCAGCCTGTGGAATAAATTTTATCTTGATGTTCATCGTGCTCCTACTAACAGAATTTAAAAGTTCTCAGACAATTCATGGGGATACCTCTTCCTTCTCTACCTGTTTGTGCAAATTTCTCGAGTTGTAGTTGTTGGAGCATTATATCCCTTTCTCCGCTATTTTGGATATGGTCTTGATTGGAAAGAAGCTATTATCCTTGTATGGTCTGGCTTACGTGGGGCTGTGGCATTATCACTTTCCCTGTCGGTTAAGGCAAGTCCTGTACCAACGGATCATTGTTTGGGCTTCTTCTCTTCTGAAATATGCTTTCTGCTTTGCCTCTTATTACTGAAGCTTAACATGTAATGATTTTAGTAGAACATAGAACCAATTGAACGACCATGTTCTGTGTGATATCATTGCCTTCATTCATTGCCATGCAGCTGAGTTTGAAATTGCAGCATTCCTATTGTTATGAATACATTTTATTACTTATGCGCAATTATTTTAGAGAAATCAGATATCCTGATTACCTTTGGCTTCAGTCATTAGAGTCTTCCATTTTGTTGATGCTCCGTGTTTTCATAATTCTCTTCTTGTTTTCAATCTAGTTTTGAAGTAGATATGCTGTTTTTTATGTGACTAGTGTCTAAAGTTGCAAATCTCTTCCCTTTTCAGCGTAGCAGTGACAATTCAGCATTCATCAGTCCTGATACTGGAACTCTGGTATGTAATATTAAACATTCTTCATTTGTAGGATGCTTGTTAGGATTTAGTAAAAGGAACAGTATTAATTCTTAGAATCTACAATCATTACAGCTTGTTGATTCAGTTATCTTCTGATTTTTTGCAGTTTGTCTTCTTGACTGGTGGGATAGTATTTCTAACTCTTATAGTCAATGGGTCATCAACTCAGTTTGTTTTGCAAATTTTGAATCTGGACAAGTTATCAGCAGCAAAGGTATGATTGTTGTCTTCTTTAGATTCGTCAACATTGATGGTTGTTTTGAAGTATGCAGTTCACCTGATAGTAAATTCTTCACCTCTAGGTTAATCTCAAAGGAAGATCATCAGAAGAAACTTTAACTTTCAGTTCTAGCTACTTAACTGGTGATTACAACTACTTAGCCTCATCTCACTATGTACAGTCGGCTAGATGGATTAAATGTCGCTATTGTGCTCTGTCAAAACAACTATTTTCATTTTCTGTCAAATTAATGATGTCCGTCTCAAATAGGGGTAACTACTGAAAATAAAACGTTGTCTTTCTCTTATTTTTATTGAATTGAAGTTGTTTCTGTGGTTAAGCATATCAGTATGTTTACGATCCACTTCTGTGGTCTCTTGTAGAGCTGAAGGATAATGAGCTTTCTTTATAATGCAGAGGCGCATATTGGAATATACAAAATTTGAAATGTTGAATAAAGCTTTGGAGGCCTTTGGTGATCTTGGAGAAGATGAAGAACTAGGTCCTGCTGATTGGACTGCTGTCAAAAAATATATTTCAAGCTTAAATGATCTGGATGGTGAACAAGTTCACCCCCATGATTCGTCTGAAGACAACAATAATGTAGACCATATGAATTTGAAAGACATTCGAGTGCGGTTTCTGAATGGTAAAGTAGCTTTGGGAATGCTTGCCTCTCATCAATGCCATATCTAATTGGCTCTTTAATTTTCTTTTTATCTGCACGAGTGTCCGTTTGAGTTGATTGAACATTTGAATAGGCGTTCAAGCTTCTTACTGGGCAATGCTCGATGAAGGAAGGATAACTCGTACAACAGCCAATTTACTGATGCAATCTGTTGATGAAGCACTTGACCTGGTGTCCCATGAATCTCTCTGTGACTGGAGAGGTCTAAGTTCATACGTGAACATCCCCAAATATTACAAATTTCTTCAAACAAGCATGGTGCCCCAGAAGCTTGTGACTTATTTTATTGTTGAAAGGCTGGAATCTGCTTGCTACATCTGTGCTGCCTTCCTGCGTGCCCATAGAATTGCTCGACAACAATTACATGACTTCATTGGTATGCATTTTATGCTTTCTTCTATCTTCTGTAGTGCGTTGGTTTACTTCAAGGTTTCATATATTCCGTTGAGATTGCCTGAATCATCGCCTCACCCAAAGGTCAAAGGCCCCGGTGTTGAACATCTAATGTTTTGTGTCGATACACCTAGTATGCCTTCTCTAGTTCTGACTGAAATATTGTTGATGGTCAACGCAAGTGCAGATGTGGTTATTTGTGGTTTGGAGACGAACCTGATATGTTGAGTTGCTTAGTCTTATTTTACAGTGTACTAAAAGGTTAGATGCAAAGTACTTTTGGGTAATAGTTGGTACAAGGAAAGTTAATGGTAGTGTGAAATTTTGAACAATCTAAAATTGTTTATATTTTTTCCTTGTTACATCTGCCTCTGTAGAAGTTGTGTTACACTAGATTGTGACAGGTGACTGAAGATCCTAGGTTCTTTCTTCCTCACCCACCCCCCTCCCCCACAAACCCAACAAAAAAAAAGCTACTTATTTGCTTGGATTAATAAGGGAATACTAGGACTAGAGAATAACTCATTTTTATGGATACTTGGTTCAAGCTGCTTAATGGTATATATAGGGTAGAAATAAGGTTCCCATACCTCTTTTAAATTTTTCATCATTTAATCATTCATCAAAATTTTAATTTTGCATTTCCTGTTTTGTTGAGCTACCAAAAATGCTTTCAAGGATTCACATTTTTGTAGGAGATAGTGAAATTGCATCGCTTGTACTCAAGGAAAGTGAGGAAGAGGGAGAAGAACCAAAGAAGTTTTTGGAAGAAGTTCGTGTTTCTTTCCCTCAGGTACTTAACATTATTCATCTGGGAAGGCACTGATTTTAAACTGCTTCTTGTATCTATCATGCATTTATAACTTTAGACTGTTTCAGGTGTTGCGGGTTGTGAAAACTAGGCAAGTGACATATTCAGTGCTGAATCATTTATCTGATTATGTCCAAAATCTTGAGAAGAGTGGCTTGTTAGAAGAGAAAGAGATGGTTCATCTTCATGATGCTGTCCAGGTGCTGTTCTGTCTTACTGCTAAAAATAATTGCATCCTAGTAGTAGATCTTGATGAGTTGTGATGTATTATGCAGACTGACCTGAAAAAACTCCTGAGAAATCCTCCTCTGGTCAAGATACCTAGGATACGCGATTTGATCAATGCTAATCCTTTGTTGGGAGCCCTTCCTTCAGCAGTTCGTGATACACTAATAGGTTCCACTAAAGAAACAATGAAGCTACGGAATGCAACACTTTATAAGGAGGGGTCAAAACCTAATGGTATTTGGCTCATCTCAAATGGAGTGGTGAAGGTAATGAACAGCCTTTATTTTATTTCACGATTTGGAACCAGAAATTTTCTTTAACAGCTTTGAGACTTCATCAATGTGCTTTAAGCATTTGCAAACTTGTTTTTCAGTGGTCAAGTAAAAGCACTAGAAATAAGCATTTGTTGCACCCAACATTCACACATGGGAGTACTTTGGGCCTGTACGAAGTCCTTGCTGGCAAGCCGTATATTTGTGACATTGTCGCAGATTCTGTGGTTCTCTGCGTGTCTATAGAAGCAGAAAAGATACTCACAGCAGTCAGATATAATCCCGCTGTAGAAGATTTCTTTTGGCGAGTAAGGCACTGCTTTAATTTGTCTTTATTTTGGCAGTGACTAAATCTCTAGTATGGCTTTTCCATGTATATCTGCATTTTGTTTCAAACGACAGTGTCAATTGTGCATTTATTTCATATTTGATGAGGAAGAAGCATGAAGATCTTCATTGCCATTTAGCGGGAGATATATCTTTGGAAATGTTTGGAACAGAAAATTGTGGTTTGAAGTTGTTATGCTGCTTCATTGACTCTGTTGTTTAACCTTTTGAGCCTTCTTATGACAAATGCATTTGACAAGCTGATGATGATAGTATACATGCGTTATCTGAAAATGGATTGTTATTCACAAGCTGATGATGATAGTATTCACATGGTTACATCTATTAAGATTTGGCAAGCCATTTTATTAGGATTTGAATCTTCCGCTGCTTTGTGCATTATGGATGGCTGTACCATTTGCGTTTAAGATGTATAAGCCCGGAAGTATATGACTCACATCGCATTTATGCTTTTACTAATGAGTACGTTGCCTGTTTTCTGCAGGAAAGCACTATCATTCTCTTTAAAATCTTGCTTCCCCAGGTATTTGAGAAATTAACAATGCAGGAACTTAGAGCTCTTATTGCAGAAAGGTCGAGCATGAGTATATACATTAGAGGAGAGACATTTGAAATTCCTCAGCATTCTGTGGGGTTTCTGTTAGAGGGGTTTGTGAAATGTCAAGGTTTGCAAGAAGAACTGCTTACATCTCCTGCAGTGTTATGTCATACGCATGTTGATTCAAGCTTGCGAAGGTCTGAAACATCAGGTATTTATCTTACCAGTAGAAATTGTGGCTCGAAACAGAAATGGTGTCTGTATGAACAATTCAGTTTTTGACGTTTGCCTGCTTGAAGGATTTTGAGTCGAAGTCTGATCTGATATTTTACTCGGGAAAACAGGCGCTGGATATACCAGTTTTTCTTATCAAGCATCGTCGTACCAAGTTGAGACAAGGGCAAGGGTCATTGTGTGTGATATGGTGGGATTTGAAACCAGTAGAACACTACAGCGGAGACCATCACTTGTACCTCCGCCAGTTGATCATCCCTCCGGGTCCTTTTCTAAACAGCATAGTGGTCTAATGAGTTGGCCTGCACAGTTTCATGAAGCGAGGCAGCAGAAGAATGACTTGGAAAAGGGCGATGGTGCAGGAAACAATTTATCAGCTCGAGCTATGCAGCTGAGCATCTTTGGCAGCATGGTATGTCCAACAGCCAATCTTGTCACTTGTTTTTCAGGTCGCGTTTTTCCATACGCGTATTTTATCACAGCTGACTTTTGGCAGTTCTTTATTTTTATATCAATCCGGCCTAGAAATAATATGTCAGACAGCTTCAGTTTTGTAGCTGCCCTATTTCAACTATATATATCTATATATATCTATATATATAGTTGAAGGTTTTTGGTGGTCAGTATAGTGGCTTGAATTGATCCTGCATTGTCCCTGACATAATCCGGCACACTTTTGGCTGAAATATTGCATGCCAATTGATCAGGTGGGGAATGCTAGTTGGCGTGCTAGAGGTTTATCTGGACGCACCAAGTCAAATCCAACACATAGTAACTCATACCCAAGCGTTCCATCAACTCATGCGAGGCCTCTTGTTGGTGCCAAATCAGAAGGGGCCATTGTGAAAAAGGTGGAAGTTGCAGAAGGCCAATCTCAAAACCAGGGAGCGGTAGAGAATGAGGTTAGGGATGACTCAAGCGATGACGACTCAGGGGTTGAGGATGAACAGCTTATCAGAATTGATTCACCAAGCACGCTTTCTTTCCCCCGTGGACCCTGAACTGAAGAATCTGAATCTGTCGCTAATGCGTAGGTGTTTTTGATTCCGTGATGAATGCTTTTGATTCAGTTGTCTTCAATGTAACCGTGTATAAGAACAGTGAAACTTATAGGGAGCTTTCATGGTTACTTTTTTAGTTTGTTTTCCATGTTTTGGTTTGTCCTGTATGGCTAGCTGAAGGTAAGATGAAAAACTGATTAGAGTTCGATGTGAGTCAAGTATAGATTAATCAGGGCAACTTTTGATTTTGTAAACTAAAACCACAATTCAAATGAAAATGAAATGGTAAAGCAAAATACAATGTTGACAATTCGAAACTTTAGTTGCGCTTTAGAACATTGTCGTAAAATATTTGCTTAATAATGCGAGTTTGGTAGCAATTACACGCGTTCATTTAATTCCACTTTCTGTGCGACTTTTGAAATTTCAATCTTGATAACTGTCGTTTTCTCCTAAATTCCGGCCATTATCGGAATCTATCTTCCTACTAGATTCAATCTATTACGTTTCAAACCAAAACATCTGAAAAACCAAAAACCTAATTCCTGCGACGATACAGCAACAAAAGCTCCCATCGGCGGTACTTTCAAAGACGGAATCAAGTTGTGCATCAAAACCCGTCATACTGGTTGTAAGATAATATACTCAAGATGAGAATTAAGGTAATTTATTGACAAATTCATAGGTTTTGTGTATTTATTCCATGAATCAATTTACATCAAAGTTGTTTTTCACTAAAAAATTCACGCAAAGGCATGGTTGTGGATTCTGAATCGAGTGAGAGCAAATCGGATGATGAAAAACAAAAGAGGTAATACTAATATTCTATATAGCGATTGATTTTTTTTTTTTTTTGGTTATGTAGATCTAAGGTATATTCACTCAATTAATGATGTGTGTTTATCTAGTTTTAATTTTGGTTCATCGATTAGATGTTGATTCAGTAAAGAATTTATAAATCTGGGTATTATTTATCAGTTCGTTTGATGTGTTTTTATGATGGGTTCTGTAGATATGATGTATATGCATTCAAATATATATCTTCGTTCATCAATTTTAAAGTTTTGCTCATCGATTTTTTATTTATTTTTGGTTGTGGGGAATAATATAGATATGTGCGTCGTTCATCAGTTCGTTTTCAATATTTATCATTGAAATACGTAGATCTATGGTTTCTGCATTCATGTACAAATGGTTGTGCATCAGTTTGATATATTTGTTCATTAGTCATCGTTTACACATATATTATTCATCTGTAATAAGAGTGTTATTCATCATTGTCATTCATTACTTTAGACTGTGCTATTCATTATTTTAGATGTCAAACTATTCATTGTTATTGAAATAGCATCTGTTGTTCATCAACTGTGTTGCGTTATTCATCAACAACACTATTTTTCGTCACATTATTATAGGTGTTGTTTATAAAGTTCGTTGTTATCAACTACAATGTATTATTCATTCATTGTTTATAATTGTTCATCGGCTTTTGTTCATCGAGTATGGTTATTCGTCGTGCAAATTTAATATATTCATTACACCACTAATGTGTTACTTATTTGTTTGTTAATATTGCCCTGTATTGACATAATACATCAGTAAGGATAAAGGGAAACAACCAGAGATTGCAGGAAGCCGAGTATTAGGAGCTGAGGATAAAGTATTTAGCGGAATTGGTAACTTCATACGTCAATACAAAATCACCGAGGATACAGTGGAATGAATGACTAGATTCTGATCATGATCATGACTTGAGCATAGTGTAGGGAACTTTGGAATGTTACTAAATACAAGTGTTTCGTCCTTGAAATCTTTTGGTTACTTTTGTTGTTTGGAGGTTAGAATATTGAATTATTATGTTCTGTTTACATTTTATCTAGAAGTAGTTTTTGCTAATGAATCAATTTATCATCGTTATTCATTACTGTATGCATAGTTATTCATTATTCATATAGAACTATCTTCCTCATATCCACAAGTAGTTTTGGCTAATTCATCATTTTACCATCATTATTCATTATTGTATGCATATTTATTCATTAACAAGGTTGCAACAATATTGAGATAATATGTTATATCTTTCTTATATCCACAAGTAGTTTTTTCTAATTCATCGATATAACATCAATATTCATTACTGTAAGTATAGTTATTTATCCATTAAGTATTTGAAAATACATAACTGCTTTCATAGTCATTGTTGTATAAAATATCTTTGAAAAATCATATATTCATCAATAATGAATAGAATATTATCGTTAAAAAACTTAAAAATCATTATTGTGAAAAAACGGTTTTTACACATTTAACACTTTAAAATTTATCTTTAACATATATATTATTCATTGTTATCATGTAATTGAACATTCATTTTATTGCTTAGTTAATATTGTTCTTGTAAAGAATGACAAACACACCCTAGGGTGAGCCTAGTGACGAATACCTTGAGGTGAAAGAAATGAGGGAAACATTTGGAATTGATCCAAAGAAGGGAATTCCAACAGCCTTTAAGCTTATGAATCATCTAGTTGGAGGAAAGATGCCGATTAAAGGCAAAGAAACTAGCCCAGAATATACAACTGACTATGTTTATGGTGATAAGTTCAAACGGTGGTTTGTGGTTGCTGTTATGTCGAGTATATTCTGGAGAAATAGGTTACAAGAGTGTCGTACAATATATACATTCATTGATATCATTTATTGTATATATGTACAATATTCATTAATAGTGTAACACACATTCATCGATAGCTATATACAATCATTACTCTTGACATTCATTAGATAAATACATACATTCATCTGACAACCTATCATATCACGCAATGGTACCTACAAAACATTCATAAGTCATTGTTGTTCATCAGGTATGAAGCAAATGTACATTAACAACGATTATAATAATCACTAACAAAACTATAACACTTTATCAATCTGATCATAATACTTCAAAAGATTCACGTTTATGATCATCAGTTTCAACCAAAAATCTATCATCATTATCAACAATTGCTAAAGAAACAGGAGTAACATAATCGATTTCGTATACTCCATACGAATTCTACAAACCTTCCATGGCAACATCTTCTTCTACAATATCCGCAACTGTCGCGCCATCTTCCCAACCATCAATTTTAGAAACAATAACATTCGATCAAAATTGATGATAGTACCTCATGTAGAATCAATATTTTGATCATCGAAAACAACCAACGATCTATCGTCTACAGCAATTGATGAAGAAACATGATCAACATCACCGATCACTTCTACTTCTTTTGAATTCAAAGTTCCTCAATGGTAGCAACTTCTTCTACATTATCCGGAAATTCTTCGTCATCTATCCAACCATCATCACCGGAATTACAATCTGTTCTATTGCATAAATCTGCACCTTCCATCTTGAATTATTTTTCGGTTTGAAGAATATTCCGAATGATGTATAATTTACCCAAAATTGGTATAATTGTTGAATGATCTTGATGATAATGGGAACCATAACTACCCGTTCAAAATTTAAAAATGCTCGCCAATAATGTTTTGTGATCACATAATTAAAACGGGAATTTTGTGGAATAAATGCGCGTGGAGTCATAAAAAGACGGGATACCTTGTACCACTTTTTTTTGGCTATGGGTGTTATACATGCACTACTAGATATACCTTGCAAGGTGTACCTATGAGTTTAATATTATTTTCCGGTTGGTAATAGTAAACTGCTCACCAAATTCCGTACAGAGCGTGACGGGCTCCAACATCCCGTCATTATCGATAAAAAAACCTTTCATTTTGGAATCTTTCTGTTTCAGGCAGGCGTTGGACCAGGCAGTCAGCCCTGCATATATTTCCACTCTCTTTCTTACCATTTCCACAAAAACACCTGATTTCGACTGGGACCTCTGCTCTGCTCTGCTCTGCTCTCTCCCATATTTTACACCTTCATCTCCCCACCTGAATTCTGCTTTTGTTTTCTCTACACCTTTTTTTTTCAACCATCCACATATATAGCTGCAATGATTTTCACCTCGCCATGGATTTTCAATATAGTGTTTTGAGAGTTTGCTTAATTCCTGTCACTCGGGGGTGAGTTTAGCATGCTTGCATTTTTCTTTGCCTGATGAAAGTTGGCTCATCCTTTGGATTAAAACCCTCGAATTTCGTGGCTTTTGTACTGCTACTATTGAAATTTTTTTTCTCAAAAAAAATTCAAGCTTTCTGGATGTAAGTGTATAGGCAGCATGTTTGTTGAGTGTGTTCTGTTCATCCCTAAATGTTTGATTATGCATTGCGTTGCCTTCTGATATTTTGAACAGGGGAGAGAACTATTGACTCTCTCCTCGTTAAGATTTTCAAGCCTAATACTGTGTTTTCCCTTCAATGTAAATGTACTCGTGACTTTTACCTGGTTTTCTTCTGATCTTTCTTCATTTGGAACTGAATTCATTTTATGTTCTTGGGATTCCTTTATTCCCAAAACCCAGATATCTGATTGCGTCTCTAAGAATAAGTTTTTTTCTTAGTTGCTTGACCATTCTTTGTGATGAATATCAAAATCTTATAAATTTCATTCTCTGTTTTTTTTTTTTTTTTTTTTTTTCTGATTCCACGCAGGAGTTACAATCCCTGATAGAGTAATAGGATACTCCTTATCTTCAGAACAAGTCAGCTTTAACAAGGAGGAAGTTACTTAGCAGAAATGGTATGTTTCTGTCACACCATTTTCAATTTCACGACGAATTTTGTTCTAAGTTTTCTTTTTTGGTCATGCTTTTGTCGGGTTGGATCCTCCTCATTGTAGGCCAGTTTTTGTTTAATCTAAAAAAGTAAAGATACCGAAAAATAGAGACGTTTATTTCTGCAAATTTGGTTGATGTTAAGTGAGGTATTGCTGCATTTTCACGTTCATTCAACAATGCCCAAAAATCATTGCTAAACTTATAAACCATGTGGCTATTCCTGTGGTTCGGATTTTAGGATTGAATGTATCATCACGCTGCTGTTGATAAAAGTAAGTACCGCAGTATGAATTAGGATCAACAAAAGAGAAGTTCCAGCTAAGTTTTTTTTTCTCCTAAGAAAAAGATCTGTATGTTTTCAGAAAATGCTGTGTGTTAATATGGATGCTTGATTACTCAGTAGTATTTGGAAGGCATGGCTGTCACTGCTATTGTATTATAAAGCCATCTGAATATGACTCATTCCTTGTGTCAGGGAGCAACTTATAGCACAGGAGGAATCTTCCACATACCAAAAGCACATGAAGTTCTGGTCATCTCTAGCGCAGGGATTGATGGCTTTAAGATTGCTAGGTCGGGTGTTGCTTTCTGCCTCTGGCCTTTTCGGCTCTTGAAGTGGATGCCATGACTGCTGAAAAAAATTCCAGTCATCCTTCTGGTTGACTTCATAGTTTGTCCAAATCGTAAGGAGGTTGAGTTATACAAGTATGTCGAAAGTTTTCCTACAGGGGACAAAGCTAGTGTCAAGCAACTCGTTCAAAGTGTGGGTTGATAGGGCAACCCGTGAAGTTGTTGCTTTAATCACCCTAAGTGAGATCTTTGCAAGAGCTTTAAGTGAGCAGGTTTTAGACAAAGTCAAAGAAGAGCTGAACAAGCGTGGACTTTGTATCCACCTCTACAGTGTTATTGATTCTCCTGGACAGAAACCATTCTCGTTAATGATCCAAACTAATGAGATGGTTGCAACAAGCTTATTAAAACAAGTTGCTGCTGAACGAAAAATGAGGGAAGAGGTTGCAGTGAAGGAAATGGAATCGAAGGCACTGCAACAGGCAGCCAATCTTGATGCAGAAGTGAAGATGAACGCTATGAAGTTGGAATATCTGAGAAAAAAAGGAGGAGATCAAGCTAAAGACAGAAACTGAACTCCTTGCCCATCAACTAGAGATTTTGGTGTCTAAAAAATTTACTGAACTCGCCATACAGAAGGAAAAACGTGCTACCCTTGTATAAATCGCCAAGCTGAATGCTGAAAAAAGAATAGCTGCTGAGGAGGCAAGATTACATCAAGAAATTGAGGAGAAGAGAGCTATGGCCAAGAGGAAGCAGAGCATTTCTGGGAAAAGATAGTGGAAAATGAGATTAAAGGTATTCTTCATTAAGCTTATATCTCTATTTACTACCTCTTTCGCCAAGAACCCTTTCTTGCTTGATCATAGTAGAGCGAACTTGACGTGGCCTTTTATGTTGTCATCTTGTTTTACTTCCATTCAAGATTTTTTTTTTTTTTTTTTAAAAAACTAATTTATGGTCAATTTCAAGTAGTCAGATGGCCTGTCACTGAAAGCAAAAAACTTGAGATTTATCTTCTAACTATTTTATATGCTTTCTATTTCATGCTTCATTTTGTTTCATTCATTATCTGGTCTGGTAGTGAATATCCCAGTGCCCGCCATAATGTTTTCTGTAAAAATAAGCATTTTCTTTGCTGGTTTGTGGTTACAAATACCACAGAGTCTAAGGGCTGAAGCAGACCTAACCATCAAGTAAAACGCACTAGAGGCTGCTCTTTATGAAAACAAAAAGTCGCAGAAGGCGAAAGATTGATGCTAGAAGCCGAGGCTTATAGAAAGGAAAAGGAAGCGGAAGGACTGATTGCTCTTTCTGATGCTCACGAGGCTCACATTCTGAACTTGCTGTCACTATTTAACGGAGACTACAACACACTCAGAGATTTCTTGGAGATTTATGATGTTTATTCAAGGACATTGTCCAAGTAAATGTTGAATCAGAAAGTCTGCAACTAAATATTAGCCTTTGAACAAAAAGGGGAGTAGCAACTACCAACTGTTGATAGAGTGTGAAAATCGAAACTGAAAAATCATGTAGGATGAAAGAATTACATACATACATACATATATATATATATATATATATATATATATGACATTTTTGTTTTTGAGTTGTTTAATAATAATAAAATGTTAGACAATAGTCAATCACTAACTGGTGCGAACACACGGTTCCAGAACCTAGTGTAATCATAAAGCAGTTATCTTTTGTTTATAAACCCTTTTTCCATACCTCGTCATGCTCATGCAAACTGTAGTTCTTTTGTAACATTGTTCAAATATCTTTTTGGATGACAAGAGGGATTTCATTAACAAATTATCTACTTATTTTGATGTTTTCTGGATCCCAATGCTTCCGTAAAAATTTAAAAAATCTATACCTCCAAATTCGAAAACTCGCTCACCTCAAATGTATCAAATGCAAGACTGACCCCGGGAAGAACAAAAGAAAAAAGAGGAGCAAATACACTAAAACAAGCAGAGTTAATTAGTGGGTTTCATCCTGAATGCAGGTCTTCCTCTAAATCCTTATTCCATTTTCTTGATAAATACACAAGGAACTGCGAAAATTCATGTGCAAAAAATCTGTGTAACTGTTCATTCACAAAGCTACAGCAATCGGCCTTGCTTTAGATAGAAGTTTAGAAAGGACTATCTATATTGATGTCATTTAGAGCTCAATTTGATTCGGCTTGTATTGAATTTTCGTGGAATGGCAAGTAAAAAGATTGCTATCTTCGATTGAATTGTGTAAAAAAGAAACACTCAAGCCGGAGGCCATGAAATCTTGACGGAACATATTGGCTTTTGTAAGGAAACAGCACCTCTGTTAAGCAGAACCAACGTTTCAATAGGACCATGTAGAACTTTGGCACATCAGGGGTGAAACTTTGGTCAAATTTCATGTAGATCAATATGAATTGCGCCCGCAGCGATCACAAACTTTAGGCTGCACATTTGGCATGCTCTTAGGCTTTTCCAACTGCATCTGAGGCAAATCAAGTTCCAGAACATCATACAGTGCTTTTGAGCCGAGTTGAAGCTCATCCGAACTGAAAGCGAAAATCAACAATCATAAAAAGGAAGGTAAGCAGTAAGTAAGTCAGGCCGAACAATTGAGATTCTAGTCTCATCAAAAATTTGAGAGAAAAAAGTGATCATAGGTAAGACTAACATACCCCATTGTGAGTGGCGGGGTCAATCTTATTATAGAATCATGAGTTGGTTTTGCTAGAATGCCCCTCTCTTTCAGCCTCAGACATATGTCATAGGCTGTCACCGGAAACAAGGCCTTGCTATTAAGTTCAACAGCATTGAATAGGCCTCTCCCTCGAACTTCCTTTATAATTTCAGGAAATCGCTGCTGTACATTCAATAACTGTTGCCTGAGCTCCTCTCCTTTTTGAGCAGATCTGTTGATATTGGAAAAGGACTCGAGTTCAACATCATAAAACAGAAAAAAACACAAGGCAACCGTGCAACTGATTAGCAAGTTCCATACCTCTCAGCAAGTCTTTCTTCCATTATCACATCTAATGAAGCAATGGCAACCGCACTAGCCAAAGGATTTCCGCCAAAAGTACTGCAATGAATTTAAATATGTTAGCTAAGGTTCTTCCAGTCGAGGGAACCTGTAAATTCAAAGTCCCAGAATCTAACTTATCAATCTTACGTAAGAAATATTCTTAGTTAAGCCAAAAGACACCTAACCTTCCATGCTCCCCAGGTTGGATACAAAGCATAACATCCTTGTCTGCAAGCACTGCACTCACAGGTAGCACTCCACCACCTAATGCCTTCCCTAATATCTGAAGGAGCAATAAACAGAAAAGACCTTCTGAATTTTATGAAAGCCAATATAATTCTCATCACGAGGATATTACATAGTCTCACAACTAGTTTGATAAATCAGAGAATTTTATGTGAGCATAAAAAATGAAGAATAAAGCAATAACAGACTAACAAAAACATGAGGCAACATATATTGAACTGGAGCAGGAAATAATGTTCATAAGTCTTCAATGATAAAGAAGACATACAGAAGGCCACGTAAAAAGAAGTGTCCAATAAAAAAGCCATCTGACTGGAAAAGAGGGAAAAAAATGTGAATCAAGCTGAAGAGGCAGATTCAGAAATTACGAAGGTCAACAATCAGTATCAGGAATCAGAAGTAAAATAAATGTCCTTACAACAACATCAGGGCGAACATCCTCCCAGTCACAAGCAAGCAGTCTTCCAGAACGACCAAGTCCGCTTTGTATCTCATCAGCAATCATTAGAACATTATACTTTGTGCAAAGATCTCTAACAGCTTTTAGATAACCCATTGGAGGTACTATAACCTACCAATATAAAGCAAAACACACTAAAATCATAAGAGGATGATATTGAAACTGAATCAATAAACAAAATAATAAACACATGAAATTCCTCAAAAAAGTCTACTCATCCTAGATGTGCAATCTACCAAGAATAAAAGATCCCTCTTTTTCAACATAAAGATCATTATCAATTACAAAAAGGAGAGAATAATGCACATAAGAACAAGGATCCAAAAGTGAAGAACATACCCCTGCCTCCCCTTGAATAGGTTCAAACAAGAAACCAGCAATGTTTTGACCTTTTTCTGAATGCCATGAAAACAAAGTAACAGTAAGTGAAATTGTAATCATTTAAGTAACAAAGATACTGGTATTTATACTACCTTATAGATAAGCAAACGAATACAAGCCTTTCATAGGATAGAATATTGTGAGTACATATACAGGTGCATTCATTAAGACAGTTGACGATGCCTGAAACAAATTATTGGCTTTTGGGGCATAATCATAGAGGATGTCTAGAAATTATACCTCTAAATATCTTCTCAAGGCCATGCACATCACCAAAATCAACTTTGAGAAGACCAGGCAACAAAGGCCAGAAGCCTTGAGTAGCCTCATTGTCACAGCTCATAGATATAGCAGCCAGCGTGCGGCCATGAAAGCAGCCACAACACGAGACAATGATACCCTGCAACATGACAAGGTAAGAAGGTCATAAACAACCATTATTATGAGACACCCACAACAACAATTTCAACAACAACATTGTGGGCTCTCCCATAAAATCATCAAAAGGGAACTGATGAGTATATAGTTCAAATGGTTTCAAAATACTGTTGATCACAAAACAATCACATGGTATACCTCTTCTCTTGGGATATTTTTTTTCATATATCCCCATTTCCGTGCCAACTTCAAAGCTGTCTCTACACCTTCGGCACCAGTATTCATCGGGAGCACCATATCATATCCAAACATGCTGGTTAGACGCTCAGCATATACAGGGAATCTATCATTGTAAAATGCGCGAGAACTAAGGGTGAGCTTTTCAGCCTGCTCAACTAGTGCTTTCATGATCTTCGGATGACAATGACCCTGCACAATGTTTTCAGTTAAAGTGGTGTCCTGCGTTCAGTACATATTGCTTATGTAGGCTAACATGATAAAATAATCGTATTGACTATCAGGCACAACCACACACCCCAGCTCAAAAAGGACATATGAAAATTATTGTCTTCACTTAATTAACTTGAAAGAGGATTTTTCCCTTTCAACCAAAGAAAAGTGTGTGTGTGTGTGTAATACTCGGCAACAGCAACACAGGCTTAGCCTTCATCCCACCATGCGAGGTTGGCATGGCTCATATGTTATCATTAGGAAGTCAAAAAAAAAAAATCATAATAACATAAAAATCACCAGGATATGTTATTAAAGTTAACACCCAATAACTCCAGTAATCCAAGTTATAACCCTTTCCACCTCTCCTTCCCTTTCGCTCATTTTACCTGATTTACTGCAGAGTAAGCAGATAAGAAGTCAAGATACTTTTTTCCTTCTGGATCCCATACATATGATCCCTTCGCTTGAGAAAAAACCATTGGGATTGGATGATAACTGCAATAATTACAAGATAGTGTATCAGTAGTCATTCATAATCATAGTTTTATTGAAGCACTCAAAGGACATAAGTTGTTGGTGCGTCAGATTTTCTTCAAATCTGTTCGAGCAATATTCTTAGAGCTGACTAACATTACATTTCTCTAACTGTATTGTGAAAACAAAACTCTCTGCATTCTAATCGAACTTCCTTTTTTTGCTGTTTACCACAACCTCGGGATAATAAGACATCTTAGTGTCCAGTGAATACAAGAAATTGCCATTCCATTGAGACACTGAAATACAAGTTGAAATACGTTCAACTGAGGTAAACAATTTCATGTTGACAAAAGCCAGATTCTGAACGTTTAGTAGAATTTCTCAATTGTTGAAAAAAAGATTCAATATGTGGGAATCTGGGTCATTTCAGGGCTAGGGTACGGCCGATATTGGGTCATCTAATTCTAACAGAATGCAAATTCTGTCTCATATAAGAACATGCCACAGCTAATTCATTAGACCAAAACGAAGAGCTTGCTGCTTTGCAACCAAGTAATATAATTCCCCATCCAATTGTAAAGTTATCCACACGATGATTAGACAACAGTATATCAAACACCTATATTTCAATTTTTAACAGCTGGAAAAAAAATCTATGAATAAGGAAAACAGAGTTTGATCATCTAAGGTAAACTTAGCACATCTCCTGTCCTCGAGAACAGGGATACAAAATACGAAAACCAAAGAGCAAATTAAGCAAAACCCAGCTGGAAAAAAAAAATTACAAAAAAAGACGGTGTGCGAAACATTTTACTTGTGAGCGCTGCACTGATACTCCGTATTGATGAGATGTTCGGAAGAAGATGACGATGGAGAAGAAGGGGCGATTTCCTGGGAAACTGCACCATAATTCCTAACATGTCTGATCGTTCCACAGTAAGCCCTCTTCAAGACAACCTGTAAGCTTCTCTTGCTTGCCATCATCCCTTTTTTCACAACAGAAATTTCTGAATAATTTTGGCACCCCGGGGTGTTCTTCTTCTTCTTCTTCTTCTTCTTCTTTTTGCCTTATTAAAAAGTGGAATAGGGAATAGTTGGATTGTAATTCTGGGATTGGTCTGAATCGGATTATCCTACCTGATGATTGATTCTTATTGGTGGTTTGAATCGGTGATGAAAAGATAGTTGCATAGCAGCATCATGGCAGTGCAGTTGCAGTCTTTCAGATTTTCAGCATTTCTATACAGAGAATGGCTAAATTTAGTAATTTTTAATTTCTTCAATAAATTAAGCTCGGTTGTGGACGAACGCGTAACGGACAAAAACTAACTTGTCTTTTTTTCTTTTTTCTTTTTTTCACTTTTTGTTAATTCGTCAAATGGTTTTTGTGTTATACTGTCAATATTGTGTTTACCAATCTAAAACATATCAATACTGTTTAGAATTGTACTAATATTCTCTTAGTTCATGTGATTTATGATTTATAAACGAGTTATGTTCATGTTATAAATCATAAATGTTGTAATCACAACCCACAATCTGGTAGTAGTATTTTATATATATATAGCTGTGTCTCTCCATCTCGATGTGATTCGAACAGTCATCCATGCCTTAATAAAATAATATTATTAGTAACAAATGTTTGATTTCTTCGAATTCTTTTAAGATACCAGATATACAGATAATAGTGTCATGCGTTTCATAGAGAAAACGAAAAAAAAACACTGAAAGTGAAGGGTCATTGGTGAATGGTGATGATAAAGTTCATGGAAAATCAAAAGGTGGTGGATTAGATTTCACTACTAATTTTTATTAGGCAGGGCTTGAAAGGAAGACCCAATACGCAAACTATGGTGTATTAAATTCGTCCCTTCTAAGGACCGAACACCATTATTTTCAAGGATAAGCATGATTAGTAGATGTTTTGTTTTGACGATTAGGATTCATCGGTTGAAATTGTCATTTCCTCTCTCTCTATCCTAATTGTCAATTACTTTTTCTATTCCAAACAGGGCCATCATTTTAGGACTGTGCGAATATAAAGCAACTTGGTCTAATTCTTTGGATTTTGATGGGAAAATTTTGAATTTTGGTCATTTAACTAAAGCTCTCTTCCTTGCACAAGGTGTAGCGCTATCAATCCTGTCCTCGAGGACAATGGGTTTTTGGCACAGTCAACCATAGTCAAAGGTTAAATTGGAGTAAAATTTATATAAGCGGTCTCAACTGCTCTTTTTTTTTCAATCTCTGATTGCATCACTGCAGAGTTTGCAACACTTGATATTTTGTTCTAGGCTGCAGCATCACCCAAAGTCGTTTTTAATTATCCAATGCTCATACTTGTTAATTCCTACAATGGCGTCGTGAAAAACCGGCTGCGCGTTAATCACTAGCTTAGCTGTGCTCTAAACAATGCTTACAACGTGAAGTGCTTTTGGTAATGTTAACTATATTAGGCTTCATAAAGCATTCCAACCTCGATTCTTTGCTTCAGCGGGATGCCCAAAGCCGGAAGGGAAGACCGGCAGTTGCTGTGCAGAACTTCATAGAATGCAAGCATAGATCTGTCGAACCAGCCACAATCTTTACCAATATGAAACTTAGTCTTCCCCCGTACGTGAACTACACCGGCAACTTTTGCCTCTTGTATTTCGGCTATATCATCTTCTGCATAACCAGATGAGTTGCTTATATGGATCTGTAAGGCTTCAGTTACTTGCTGAACAAAGTCATCCCCGTTGAGGTTGAGGGTATCTGCATAACCATACTGAATGACACAGCCATAGACTCCCCTCAGGCCTAATTTCTTCACAATAATCTTCTCATGCTGTGCGACTTTTGGTACCAATAAGTATCTGAGAGTAGTGAATATTGTGACTCGATGAAGAGATCTCATATTCTTCATGTAGTGCCCAAGTACTGGGGTCAGCCCATCTTGAATGTTGCTATAGAAAAAGCACATGCCGGGAACCCTCTGGATTCCAGGATCAGACAACAGAGTTCTAAGTCTGTCCAGGTCAATCTTGTGTGTCAACTCATACTGCATCTTTCTCTGTCTTCCGTAAAACCAGCCAAACATGATGAAAGCAAGCATGATAGAAATGGCAAATGGTATCCAACCACCTTCAGGAATTTTGGTGAAGACAGAGCTCACATAAACACCCTCCATCAAGAAAAATACAACAAAGTAAAGTGTAACAAGAAGGATTGGTGTTCTCCAGACAATGATCATGACTAAAGTTAGAAGAATGGTTGTAATAAGCATCACCATCGTAACAACAACTCCTGCAATAGAAGCGGAACTCTATCAGCAGGTGCTATCTTAGAATCAATGAATACCTTACCATCAAAAAAATGCTTGCATAACTATATAAATTAAACTAGCCCCAAAACAATCACAAAAAAAAAAATAAAAAATAGTAGAACATCTCACCAAAGGCATTCCCAATATCTGCTCCATCTCCAAAGACAAGTATCACGGCAACGCAGATAACCATAAGAATATAGTTGACCTCTGGAGCATACACTTCTCCCTCTTGCCTGGTAGATGTGTGAACAATCTTGACCCGTGGAAAGTAATCCAGTCCAACAGCTTGCTTGATAATGGAAAAGGTCGCAGATATCAGGGACTGACTAGCTACAATAGCTGCCAGGGTAGCGATCAGGAACATAGGCCAATAGACTGCAGATGGTATAAACTTGTAAAATCCATCAGCATGGTCATTTGGATTTTTTATTAGGTAAGCAGTCTGTCCAGCATATGTCAGAATCAGGGATGGATATATGGTGCAAAAGAAAGCTATCTGCGAAAACAAACTAAGTCAGGAGCTGTAATTGAAGCAATAAGCCAACCATAACAACGATCAAGTTCTTTCAACCTGAATTGAAGTCCCATCAAAATGACCAAGATCAGCAAACATTGCCTCAGAACCTGCAAACATATGTTCAGGATTTACAACTCTGCTAGAACTCATCGATGACAATAAAGACTTTATCATTTGTTAACCCAAAATTTAAATTGTCATCAATGTGCTGAGAAGCTTATAATTGACTCAGTGTTCACCTGTGATGCAAAGAATAGTGCCACTGAGCAATAGCCATCCTTCCTTTCCGTTTCTCCAGAAGAAGGTGAATATATAATGTGGTGAAATAGCCTTATATATACCAGGGTAGTGCTTAATGATTCTGTATACTCCTACCATAGGAGTAGTGAGGGTCCATGCTCCCATTATCGGAGAGAAAAGGAAGCTCACTTTTGAGGTACCAAACTTCTGAAGGAGGAACAAAGCTATGAGAATAATGGCAGAGACAAGTTCCACCATAGCTGCAAGCCAAACAACAAACGTAAATGGTCATATAAAAATTGGACTTAGCTCAATCCAATTTTATTTTTTAAAGTTTCTGATTTATTAGGCCCATTCAGGATAGCTAGATTCTGCCTCAAATATTATACTTACAATTTTTGAAGGAAGGAAAAGGTGCTTTTATGCCCTCCATAGCTGACAACACTGATATGAGAGGAATAATAATTAAAGGGGTGAAATATTAAACACCAAAATGCTAACAGAGTTACACTTTGATTGTGAAGAATCAGTTAACGATATTGACTCATTAACCTACCAGAAATTGCAGGAGTAAGCACGCCATCGCCTATTAGCATGCACATTCCCAAAATGGCAATAAAAAGCAGCACCCTTCTGGCAACCAAGCTCTCTTCAAAAAATTTACCGAGTCTACTTATCCTTTGAGGAGAGCTTGAAATCGCACGGTGACGTTTCGAAGAGAGAATGTCAATGTTAATATTCCTGCAGAGTAACGAATAGAGGGCAAATGTTCCACCTGCAAACAACATCCAAAGCCAAAGGCGATAATTCCACAACATCAGCAAATACACTGACTCCGCATAAAGTAGAAATTTTGATAGTACGAGTGACAAATATGCGCAAATATACGAGTGTAATAATCCGGGTGAACAGAAATATACCTTCACCCTGATCATCAGCTCTAACAGCTATACTGGCATACTTGACAACTCCAATAAGAGTAAGAGTCCAGAACATAATGCTGAAGATTCCCAAGTAGTTCTCTTCAGTGGGAGATTTCAATTGCATGGAAGGATAAACATAAAGTGGAGAAGTAACAAGCCCACCAAAGACAACTCCTAATGTCTTGTAAGCAAGAACAACTGTTTCCCATTTTCCTCTCCCCTGGGAAAAAAAAATCAATATATAAATCAGCCGCCAGAGAACAAATTTTGAAACAAAAGGTACAAGAAAATATAATCACAAAAACAGTAATGAAAAAGTAGACAGAAGATCATGCTTTAATAATGACAGGTTACCACATGCACAGTGAAAAATTGCCAAATGTTGTGTTACATATCCACATACAGTAGTAATTGAGACAGACAAACATCAATGACTTCGAAATCGAAAAGAACATTCGAATTTCTCATTCAATCACTATATGTTCCTGTCCAAAGTTCTGACCAATCATTCAACCATGAACGCTTAATTTAGTCACTCTAATCAAAACTATCTCTCTGTAAGCAAACATTTCAAAGTCTAAACAGAATTCCACTCTACAGTGTGAGAAAATAATAAATCAAGCCCCCCAAAAAAAGGAGAACTCAACAGTCACTGTGTCAGATAATGCATGGTTAAGGATTAATGTCAAACGGTTAGTATACAACCTTGTGGTCCAACGTCGTGGTTGTCGCTGTGGTAGTAATTAAACCGTTGAGATCGTCGTCACAGGAAGATGCTGACAAACCTACATCATCACCGGCGGGTCCGGCTGCCTCCAAATCGTGAGACCGAGTCAACGGTGGCGAGTGGTCGTCATGTGGCCGGAGATGACGATCCATTTTCTTTTTCCAGTTTACGATGACCGCCGGCGCCGGGCGAAACTCACAGAGCTCAGAGAGGTGTGGTTGCTGTATCTGCTCCAAAGAAGAAGAGCGTTGTGCATTAAATGATCATTAATATTTTGACTTCTTTCATAATGGAGTGTAGCAATTTCATAATTATAAAACTCTCTTTTTTAGTGGCAACAAATTCCACCTAAATATCATATCAACAATTTGACAAAAATACAGATTTCGTTTAACCTTAAATAGTTGTTGTTAGTATTATTAGAGTTTAAAAACTATCATCTAATCACATTTTTTGAATGGGACAAAGAGATATACTGCTACACTAAGTAGATTCTGATTGTGATATGAATACGAGCACATGCCTACAGCCATAGAGCGCCATGTGATGTCTCGTGGTTTCATATATTTTCTTTTTCGTCTCAAAATAATTATAATCGTTATGTTGTTAAATTAATAGTAATGTAATAGCTGTTCTGATGAATTAAAAGATTAATTTAATAATATTATATTGTATAATTGACTATCGATGACATATTATTAAGTAAATGTATATGTAGAAAATATGTTGTTTAACATAATGTTGAATCAAAACATTTTTGATGACATATTATTAAGTAAATGTATATGTAGAAAATATGTTGTTTGACATAATGTTGAATCAAAACATTTTAGAATATCTATGTATTGGATGAACATGCTTGATAATATGGTACTGTGCGTAATAGTAACTTACAGTAAAAATAAAAAAATTAAAAACTTACAGTAAAGTAGTTTATTGGATTTCCATGGTTTTTATGCTAAAAAAAAGTTAGATGTTCTACATTTAATTTATTATATTACTAGTGATGTCTAGTCACGCATGGCCCAGTATATCTGTAGATTTTAGAAATATTTGTATTTGAAAAAAAAATATTTTGCATTTGGCCCGATATATTTTAGAAATGTTTGATGAATTTAGAAATGTTTTATAAGTGTGATCATAGAAATGTTTGTATTTGGCAAAAAAAGAAAGTGTATTTGGTCCGGTACGTTTTATAAATGTTTGAATATTTTAGAAATGTTTTATAAGTATTACTTATTAAATATAAATAAACTTGATCAAGTATATCTCTTGAAGTAAATGTTAGACAAAATATAAAAGCATCCTAATAAGTTTAAATATTAGTAAGATTATTTATTGATGTTCTCCATTTGTCGTGCCAAATCAATACTTGGTTTTAGAGATTTATAATAGCTTTGTAGTAAGCTTCTTCCGAAGGGTATACGTTTAATTGTTGGAACTGTTTCTTCCAAAGACTTATAGCTAATAAAAAATCAAAAATATGATTTTGAAACTGATTAATTGTTGAAACTGGTTGATCACAAATATGAGAATGAAAATTAATATAAATTTGCATAGGTTTCAAGTTATAGTAAAAAAGAACTCACCTCACCATGGCAAATAAAAAAAAATAAGTAAAAGAGTCCATTAAAAATTGAGAAAAAAAAAATTTTTCCTGTAGGTAAAAATGATGTATAAAAATACAAATAAACGTAGAAACATCATTCCTTCCCTCTCCACCTCAAATTCATTAGAGGCTTCCCCATAAATTAGTTAGAAGAAGCGACCTGAACTATTTATATGATGAGTAATTTAAAAAAGTCCAAAACCCAAATCCAAAAAAATATATTCTTGAAAGTCCGAACACAAAAAAAAACACGCTTCATTTGCAAAAATAATAATAATAATCATAATAATAATAATAATAATAATAATAATAATAATAATAATAATAATAATAATTGGTCAACTGGGAGTATGAAACAAAATCAAAAGCAATTAAACAAAGAAAAAACACAATTCATAACTGAACATATACGAAAAAAAACTGAGACTCCATAATTAAAAAAGGGAAAACCACTCTAAATGAATAAAACATAAAAAAAAAATTAAAAAAAACCACACTTTGTGACAAAAACTCAATTGACCAATTCAATTCAAACAGAACTAAAATCATACAAAAATTCTAAGCTGACTAACCATATAAGAAATTACATCATATTACCTGGCAACGGCTACGGTAGCTGTAATGTGTGGACGCATAAAAATAATATAAACAACACTATTCTTGAACGGGAAAAACAAAAAATAATAAAAGCCGTACAAATGATCTGTGGATATAAAATCATTTAAATTTTAATATCTGTAACGGCACCACCACAACGGTCGAAAGTAACATCAATGAGAATTTTTTTTTCCCTTTATGTTTATATAAAGAGGTAAAGAGAGTATTTTTTGAAGTCGAAATTTTATCTGATTAGGATGTAGTTGATCATCACTAATGAAAAGATTGAACATGCTAATAGGAAATAAGTATATTTCACCATGTATTCTCAATTGATGATTGATGAGAAATTTTTTTTTTTTTAATTGTGGAGAAGGGATTGATTAGGGAGTCAATTGTCGTGGAGATGGAGATGAGGATTTGTGTTTTTTATGAAGTCATGTTTTTTTTTTTGGCGAAAATAGGAGGTGGTGGTGGATTTGGACTGCATTTGATTTTTAAGTCTAGAAAAATGATGTGTAAATAAAAATTTATTTTAAAAATATGATGTGGAAATGCCACATGGCAAATGGTGGTGCTTTATCTTAAGTGTGGTTTTTGTTTCTAATATAGTAAGATATTGATCCAAATAGAATGATTTCTAACAAAATTAATGATTCGTGCGGAAAAAAATAACATATTTTGTTCATTTAAAATATTACATTTAGTCTAATTTATTTTATTTTATTTTTTTTTTTGGGGGGGGGGGGGGGGACTAATTAGTTTCATTATTCTTTTCCCAAATGACGTGAAAGCTACATATGGCTTACTTGTTGAACATTATAGTGCAAACACAACAAGAAAACAAAATCAGTTCGGCTTACTGTTCTTTGGATTCGAACATCATATCCAACTCAATGTTTATGTTGCGTCCAAAATTCAATAATTTGTTTCTTCTTCGGCTTTGCCTCCTAAATTCAGAGGACACAACACGCGCACACACAGTCTCAAATCACAGGTATCATAAATCCTCAAGATTGGAAAACATCCACAACACTATTACAGATGGTGTAAGACTTCGGCATGAGTTGTTTTTTCTTTTTTCTTTTTCTTTTTTTTTTAAATTATCTTTACTTTTTTTTGTTCCAGCAAAATTTTTAGACCCTCAATAGTATGAAATTGACTGTTATCATTTTACCTAATTCTCCCATCGTAAATTCTTCGGCTGGTTGTTTCATTGTAGTTTGTCATTTTTATTATTTGCCTCACCACTGCCTTCATCTTCATCATCTTTATAATAATCCATGACTAAAATAGTTATGCTCTTTGGGCTGGTTTTGGGTCAATTAATAGAGCTAAGGAAATTGGGCTGATATCATTCTTTGCGGGTGTCAACTTGTCATGAAATAGGGTTATAATCGAAAGTAGTTAATAGCCTAGGCACCTGATTTGCAATTATGTATAATAGCTTGGTTAGGCATAAAAGACGTCGTTCCTACCTATGCTGAAGCAATTAAGAATGAAAATGTATGAATTTGCTCCCCCTTTCTTTTCTCTGTAATCCTCTTTGTATACAGAATCCCTACCGTTCCTGACAAAACTACAAAGGGGGGAGTTGTTTCTTTTGTTGGGTTAAAAGAAAAGAAAATTGGGCATGATTGGATTTGGGCTTTCTAAATTGATACTAGTAAGTTCTTACCCTAGTCTGTTGATGTGTTCTGTCTGTAAAAAGAGAGGGAGAGAGAGAGTATGGAATTAAATTGAGTGAATAATTTTTCTACTACTAGAACAGAATAAGTATTAGTTTAATGTATTTGTACAATCATATAGGAGATAAAGAATTTCCTGTACGGGGGTTTTAGCTTTCTGCTTACAAGCTTTCCAACTTTGTACTTAACAAATTTGCGCCAAACCGTTTTGTATTTTAACTACATTATTAGTTAATGTTTTGTTGGTTTTGAGGAATTCTTTAAAAAGAGATAAATAAATAAAATAACAAAAGAATCTCAAAAAGTTTCGGAGGAATTCTTATATTTATTTTGTTTTTTTAGTGTGTGTTTTTAAGTGTTTTTTGTAATAGGAATGTAAAAAGATATATAGCAAATGTAAAAAGGTATGTTAGGATGAGACAATTATTAATATATTAATCTGAAAAAACCAAACAAACAGAGTTGTTTGCTTCACTGTTACACTTAAATTCCAACATAAGATTATTATGTTGAGATTCAGGTGAGATTATTATGTTGAGATTCAAGTGTAACACTGAAGCAAATAACAGAGTCGATGATCTTCCAACAAAATTTGGTTGTTGAAGTGCACCACAGATGCTTGAGCCTGGATATATCCTAAGGTTGAATTGGAAGAAAAGCATTTTTCTTTTTGGACAAACAGGGAAAACCGTGTGGATGAACTTGGGGATAGTATTTTTCTTCTATTGGGAAATTCAGTTTAGGTATAGAGATAGAAAAGTCAACATTGTTGTGGTTTTAGAAGGGACTAATGCACTGTTATGGAAGATTATGCTAGGATTTCTGTAATGCTGTAACCTTAGGCTTTTTTAGCCTCCTCAATATGTATATAAAAAAAGATATGTATGTTTTTAACAATTCTACGAATGGTGGAATAAAAAAGATGTGTATGTTTTTAGCCTCCTAATCTTAGGCTTTTTTTTTAAAAAACAAAAAAAAAAAAAACCTTATTCTTTGTTGCTTCTTATTCTTATGTTATTTGTGCTAAAAATAAATTTTTGGTGACTAAACATTGAAGTTTTCCCACCAAAAAAGAGTTTAAAACTAAAAGTACATAAGTGAACGAATTGAACGAATTGAATTCTAAGATAAATAAGAAGATTTAAAGAGGTGTATTGCTCACTAAAAATTTTTACTTTTTCTTAATAAATTGTTTTTCTTTAGAAAAAATGTATGTAAAATGCCACAAAAGAGGTGTAGTTGTCTTTTCACATCATAC